CATCATGAGGTAATCCTTAAGACTAGCATCCCCAGCATAATTATCCTCCATTTTATACTTTTCTTTTTCTAAGTATCTCTCCACCTCCTCTATTTCAGAACGAGGTCTCTCCATATTTACCATGTTTGCATCAACATCCTCCCCCTTAGTGTCATCGTCTCCCCATCCTGTAGGTTTTATATCTTCAATTTGGATTTTCGAACTCTCTGGGGCAGAATACTTGACCAAGTAGTCAAACTTTCCACTGGGCTCCCCTAAAGTATCCCATATTTCTTTCTGAGGGGAGGTTGGCTTCGTGATCTGGACTTTCTCCAATTCTAGCCTCAGGCCTTCAGTAACCTGTGTCAACTCTTGCTTTTGGTTTTCCTGGCCTTCAGTAGCCTGGATTTCTTTTGCAACAGCTAAAGATGCTGCTTCGATCGAAGTCTCTGGTTGCTTGTGGACGTCTTCAGTGACCCCCTTGTTGACTTCGACTAACACCCAGCTTTCATTTTCAGTACCTTTCTATCCTACTGGAGCGTCATTTTGATCTGCTTCCACCATGTTGATTTCTCCAATGCATACAGGCTCGGAGTAATTGGTGTCTGCGACATCCAAAGGATCTTCATCTACTTTCATTTTTGGTTTATCAGCGAATTTCAGTCTGCCATCTTTAATTGCATTCTGAATTAGGTCCCTGAAAAGAAAACACTGTGAGGTTTTGTGGCCTAGGAAACTATGATACTTGCAAAATCCTCTTTTCTTCCTTTGATCTAAAGGAGGTATTTTGACATTTGATGGCACAATGAGTTGGCCATCTTTGACAAGTAAATCAAAAATCTCGTCACACTTAGTTACATCGAAGGTATAAACCTTCTTTGGGAATTTGTCACTTTTCTCATTTTCAACAATTTCTTTCCCTTTTGTGGGAACTAATAATTTGCAGGAGTAAGGTGGGGCCTGTTTTAATTCAGCGAGATCAATTTCGACCTCTTCGAATTCAGGGTAATCTTCTGCTTCCTCAGCTCCAACATAGGAGACCCTTTCTTTCTTGTTATTTTTAAAAACTCTGGCCTTTTCGGCCTTTAGCCTTTCGACCTGCCGAACCCTATCGGCTAATTGAGCCATATCCCTCAAGTATTGTGTGTCTAATTTCTTTCGAATAGAGTAATCCAGGCCACCAGCAGCCATTTCGACTAACTCATGTTCAGGAACTACTGTAAAGCATCTAGATTTCAAGAGCCTGAATCTATTCAGATAATCATCTATGGGTTCAGTAAACTTCCTCTTGACACTGGCTAGTTCTTTCAGACTTATTTTAGATTGTCCCATGTAGAACTGTTCATGGAATAATCTCTCCAACAGAGCCCAAGTATCTATGGACCCAGGAGGTAAAGTGGTGAACCATGTGAAAGCGTTCTTAGTTAAGGAACTTGGGAAATATTTGATACTAAGGTCTTCATTATTCGCTATATCTCCTGCTTCGGTTAGATACCTGGCTATATGTTCGACTGTTGATTCATTGGTATCCCCAGCAAACTTTGTAAACTTAGGGACTTTATATCCCCTTGGTAAATCAGTGTGCATTATGTAATCTAATATAGGAGAGGCATAATTTGGCCTTCTAATTCCTGTGTTGAGGCCATTCTGGGCCATGATTCTCTCTATCATGGTGGTTAAATTATTTTCGGCCAAGATGTTATCATTTCGAATTCTGTGAACGACTGCATCAGCATCTTGATTTCGACCCACCATGACAAATCCTCTAGGCTGTTCTTCTCGAAACTCTGGGACTTCTAGCCTCTCGACCCTTGCCCCTGGTTCCATAATTTCCCTTTGTGGGCCTTGAATCATTGGGGCTTCTAACCTTTGTGCCCTTGCCCCCAAATTAACCTCCTCTCTGGCTGGTCTATAGGGTGGGTCGTTAGCAACTTGTTCTATGATAGGTACGTTTGCTCAAACTCCCGCCTGATTCTGCCTACGCCTTTCTGGGGGAGCGAAAAAATCTGCTATTCGACTCATGTTATCCGCGTTTTCTCTGTTTGTCACAGTTACATTTTGTACTATTGGGGCAAAGATCTCCTGCATAGTTTGTGCTAATACTCCTATCATATTATGGTTACTATCATCCATTAATTGCCTAAAGGCCAACTGATTTTCTGTGGTTAAGATAGGCATTGCATTATAACCCACTGATCCTTGGTTATTTGTCATAAATTGGTTTGCCCCAGACCAAGACCCTAATTGTGGTGACGTATTCGATGTCGAAGTGTGCAGACCCGCCATAAAAGATGTTGGCATCCCATAAGAGGAATTTCCGTGTCTGTTAGCATCGAACCCGGGTGGTCTAGTTAGTGGGGTGGCGAAATGGGTTTGTGTCCCTGATGGTGGGACGAATCCCCCAGGATAACCAATGGTTCCAGTATTTCCTAGGATCGAACTGTTAGCTGACATGCCACTTATTCCATTAGTGGCTACACTACTGGTAAAGGATGCAACAGACTGTGCGTTCGAAGGGATCGCATTAGATGTTCCCATCGAAGCGGACATATTAGTGCCTGTTGTATGTGGGATATTTTGTTCCCCTTGTTGATTGTCTGGATTAGACATCTTGTTTAAACGTTTTCTTCTGGGTAAGGGTTGGTTGATATTGGTTATTCTACCACTTCTAAGGTTCATATAACAACAAACTTATCACTCAGAGAGTACTTTTACAATGGTTATGTCTCAACAATTTTTTACTTTGTTCTAAATTTCGTAATGACCAATGACGCGTCCCACCGGGTGTGCCAATTTGTTTACAGTTATTTCTGGTAAACAACCGCTAGTCCTCCAAACTATCAAATAATCTTAATGACTGTTATTTAATCTCTCTGGTAACTTACAGGATCGACTAGATTGATCCTATGGTGTATTGGTCGTTTGGATATTTCTCATTGTAGAACTGATATTCATGTTTGGTATTTAGATTGTTGTGTAGGTGTTCAACTTACTTCAATTACTCTATTAAAGATCTAATGACATGATCAAGTAAATACGTGCGAAACTGAATTGCATGAATGAAGGTTCAATTGTAAAGACACGTAAAACTGCAAAAAGACAAGTAAATAACTTCGAAGTATAAAAACATGTAATGTAAAAGCGTTTCTGGAATGTAAAAGATTCGAAATAGAAAGAAATCGTTTAAATGCAAGAAATCAGTAAAATGACTTTGGATGAAAAGGGTATTCGAATGATAAAAGCATGAAGATAACAACATAAAAGGTATAAGAATTTCTGAAATGTAAAGTACTCGGAATAGAGGGAAAGACTTTCAAGTGCAAGAAATCAGTAAATGACTTTGAATGAAAAAGATTTTAATGTAAAGGCTTTTGAATGATATTGACATGAAGATAGAGGATAAACTGGAAATGATAAAGAGTTTTGCTGAATCATAAATATTTGGTGTTATCATACGTACATTGTTCGAGCATTCGTTTCCCTAGCCATGTGGTATTTTGAATGTTTACTGAATTTTGTACAATAGATATGACACACGAAATCCTAACGCTAAGACTTCTATGTATACTACTTCGACCATAACGGTCTTGCCTATAAGATTCTGCCACGTTCAGAACATGCAAAGCACTGCCCCTCTCTAGTTTCCACGCGTCTTCGAATGCTCCAGCGCATATATTTTAAATTTTGAACATCCCGCTTGCGTTTGAATTTCAAATGTTTTGACACTCTTCGCTTCGAACTCATTTCTTGGACACAGCCTTGTTACCACTTCGAGACTTCTTTTGAATATATCCCCATAACTGTCACTCGAAGCTCCGAGCTTTGACATTCCCATTCGAAGCACTGCTTCTACCATTTCGAAACATGACATCTTGCTTTATTCCAACGAAACACCCAACCTGCTTCGTTTCGAACTGTATCATCAAAATCTTCAGCCAACAATGAGAAATTGTCATCCCGCTTCCAATCACCATAGTGATATATAATAGTCTCAATCCTAGTGACTAACAATTATAACTCAATTTAGAAGATCATACTTCCAATATAATAACTCAATCCCTGGCTTAAAAGCTTTGAGTGAGAACAATACTCAACTCATTTCATAGAGGCTTTTGAGTGAGGATAATAACTTGACTAACAGTCAAGCAACAACCAGTCGACCACATAGTATCAAAGGATGCATGAGTGACTTACAAACTACACAATAGACTCTCAAAACCTAAGACTTATGCTTCCCCTAATTTTACAATCGTGAAAAACTTAAATTACATTAGATTAGGATTCTCCTTTAAATACAACTCTATAGTCCATGGGTTTCGATATTTTGAGTCCAGAAGTTTCTTGATCCATAAGTTGAGTGTTGCACCAATTGTGTAGAAAATCTCCTTAAATCTTGGAACCACCAATACATAGTTTTTTAATTTGTCTCAAGGCCCAAATTAGTATCTTCTGTACAACTGGAGATATGAAACTTGTTCCAAAACAATTCTTCTTAACCCGGGAAAATCTCGGATATATATCCAAAGGAAATATAATAGAATTAAATCCAATATGTCAAGATTTAAAAAACAACAACACCTTGACTGCTGCATAACAAAGCACGATGTCATAACATCCTGCTCGACATCTGGTTAAAACCATATTTTAGAAAAAAGTTGTCAATCTCAAAATCATAATACTAACAGTTTTTTAATGTATTAATTTTTATTCTTTTTATTTTTTATTTGTTCTTATCCAAAAGAGTGTTTTGGGGCATTTAATAAATTTCCAAACCCTGTTCGGGTGATTATAAAATGAAAGGAGATAAGAGTTGTAATAGAGAGGAGGCACCAGGGATTCAAAGAACAGAACAAAAATCCATTTTCGGTTCTCATTTCCAAACACATCATTCTCCTTCTTCATGAAGTCACTTTCATTGTTCTCACGAACCACTTCACTACCCATCTCCACTTATTCTTTTTGCTCACAAAGACCACCATCACCATTCGATTACCTCACCCACGTCTCTTCTCTCCCTCTTTATGAGAACACCATTCCCTCCGCCTAAATCGTTCACCACCATCATCACCATAACCACACTGAGCTTCCACCCACCGCCTCCTCCGTCCCAATACTCTTCCTCTGTTCCGTTCTTCTACACGAATCACCCTTCATCTCACTCTGCTGAACAACAGTCAGAGCAACTACCCACCACCCCTTCTGTTATGTCCGCCTTCCACCCTTTGAATCCGGCCAGAACACCCGAAGTAACACTTGCAGTTTTTGGCCAGCTCAACACAAGCGCGGCTCACTTCTCACAATCAAACATTCCGCAAGCACAACAACACAGAACACCACCATCTACTGTTCGGTAAGGTTCTATATCACTATTTTGTAGCTTAATTTGTGGTTTTGTTTTGATGTCATTATGATGGAATTGATATTATTAATGTGTTATTGATGTTGAATGGTAGAGCTTTGAATCAATTGTGTTGAAATTTGAATTATGACTATTTGGTTTTAGTTCGAAGGATAAAGCGGTGATTGATATTATTGTGTGGTTTATGTTGATAATTTTGAGCAATATCTTGATATCACCATGCTATTGTGTTAGAATTTAATGATGAACCATTGAGATAATTGTGAAGTGTGTATTGAATTTATGGTATTGTCTGTGTCAAATTAGAATGGGATTTTGTTGCCAATACCGTGTTATTTGAGTTACTTTGATTGAGGTTTTTTTAATTGATGAAATGGTGAAATGGATAATGTTGTGATTGGCTTATGCTTGAGTTGATGATTCATGGTAGGTAGTAGAATTTTGAATTCAATGGATACTTTAGTAATAAGTTTTGTTTGTTGTGACTTATTTGGGTTGAAACTTTTAATTGATAACATGTCATTTGTGTTGAATCGAAGTTTACCATGCTACTTGAACCAATTCGATTGAGTTTTTGTGTTGATACTATGCTCTATGTGTTATCTGTGCTAAATCCGAGTGAAGTTTGGTGTCGATGCCATGTTGCCTTAATTAATTCAAAAGATGTTGATGACATTTATTATGTTTCTCATTGGTTTCAAACATGTTTGAGTTGGATTTTCGGGCATAATTATTTATGTGTAGCTACTGCCTGATTTTCAATTTAGGTGAATAAGGCTTGTTACTAATGTTGTTTCTCATGTCTTGAATACACTTTGAGGTCCAATTTGTGTCCATACCATGTGTTGTTGGTTTAGATTAATGTAATGATTATTTTGAAGATTGGAGAAGCCATTTTAATATGTTGGGATTCATGAAACTCCACTTCCATTTCTTCTTCTTTCATGAGTTGAACTTTTATCCCTTTAATTGAAATTGGTTGAGAAATTTTTATGAAGCACTTGGTTGTAGTTCATCTTTTACTATTCACTTTGTTAATCCACAATTGAATGTGTTGCATATTTGAACCATGTCCTTTCTTTACTATTCCATCCATACATGTATGTTGATTTTGGTTTAAGTTTGGTTACTTTCATGTAAGTTAGAGGCAAGCTTCATTTGATTACAATTTCTCTTGTGTTGTTAATATTGTCTATGGTTTATGTAGCTTTCAAGTAGCTTAATTACTCACTTCCTCTTAACACTACTTTGTTGTTTTTAGTTAATTAATTTAAAATCGATTTAATTAGTTGATTTTGTTATTAAAAATTAATTAGTTTTGCTACTTAATTTTTCTTAACTTAACTAATTAATTTAATCAACTTTTAATTACTTAATTAACATGCACTTCACATTTCATTTATTAGTTTAGCTCTGATATATGTTTCTAATCCATTCAGACTTGTTTTCTTACTTCACATGAAACTCGTGGGTTATATCTCGGTTATCCGGGTTTTGTTTGTTTGTTTGGAGTTTCATCGGATGCAGGAATTCTTATCAGATATTTGATGATCATCCGATGCTCTGAGTCTTATCTGATACCTTGAGTTTATCTTATCCACTTTCTGTTCGTGATTTATTTTCACTAGTTGCTTGGTATACTCTTGATTTATTATTTGCTTGTGACTTTAATCCAAAGGATGAGAATTCTGTGTTGACTTTTTATGTTAAATGTTGGCTTCTTGTTTGGTCAGATCTTGCTTACTTTAGTTTTTACTTCATGCTTTATGATAGTTTCTTCATCTCCTTCCATTCTTTAATTTTCAAAATCTTCTCATCTTTTTCAAAACCTTCTTATTTTCTTTATTGATTGCTTATGCTCACATGTACCCTTAGAAGTTTGATTCCATCTTGTTCAAGGTGTGAATTAAATAGACTTTAGGTTTTAAGCCAAACACAATAACATTAGGTAGAAGTTCTCTTAATCCTAACTCTAGGACCATTGTACATAATAACATTAAGGCTTGAGTTTTCCCTTAGATTTCCTTTTCCCTTTTGCATTACATTTAAAACTAAAACTTCTTTGTCTTTATCAAATCCCAAAAACACATAACAATAAAGAGGCGAACAATGTGTCATGAGCCTTAAGTAGTGGGAGAAGGATGAGGCAGTATATTCTTAACCTTGTTCTTCCTCTCATTCATAGTCTTTAATGTGTTTGAAATCACCAAATTCTTTTTCAAAGACTAAAAAAAATATTCAACCTCATTCAAACCTTTTTGTGCCATCGTGCACCTTTTCTCCTTTAAAACTTTTTTCAAGATTTAGACACGAGTCATTTATAATTGAGATGTCATTCCTCTATTCTCATGGTTATAAAGATGTCGATATTTCCACTTGAGTACTAGAGGTGTGTCCAAACCCTCTCTCATGTTGGTGTATTGTCACTCTTTCTCATACTTTGTGGGTGATTAGACGAGTATTCTTCTTAAAAAAGACAACTTGTCTTTTTCATTTAAAATCAACCAACAAAGAAACCTTTTCGAGAAGAATTACAAATACTATGATTCTCTATTGCACGACGGGGATACGTAGGCACGATGTTTCAAAACTGAGGCGAGCGCAATGGTAAAAACTTTTCTTTTTATTCTTTAATAATTCATTCATGCATTCCTGTGGAGTACCATAGATGTTTAAGGTGCTAATATATTCCCTTTGCATAATCGACCTCCGTATCTTGATCTCTATTTTATTTTATTATGGGTTTTATTAGCTCTTTTCTCATTTCCCTTTGGAAACAATAAAGTGCGATGATGACTTTCACTGTGTGAGTTAAGCCAGTCAATGTCTTAGTCTCAAATTTTTACTGCTACATGATTATAGGGTCCTTCTAGGGCTGGCCATCCGAAGACTCGATGTCGACTTCCTCCATGTCCATAAGTCAACCAATCTAGCACTGTCTTGAAATAATCCACTACGGGTATAATCCAACTGTGGATAAAGGCATAACACCTGAGACTTTTCCCTGTCAAAAGCCTTGTCACCAACAGAAAGGAAATTGACCTGAGAATTTTTTAGGGCCCGCTGCAGCTCTTCATTAGAGCTTTTTTCCGCCTTAAGCTCTTTGACAAGCTTGGAGATTGTGGTCGTTAGAACATAGTTTGCTTCTACATCTTAGAAAATATTTTTGATGATAACAAATACATGATATATATATATATATATATATATATATATATATATATATATATATATATATATATATATATATATATATATATATATATATATATATATATATTAACAAATATGCTCTCTAAATAATTTATTTTAATATGCAGAGAAGTTCTGATAAAGAAGCACAAAAGTTGACGAACAAAATTACGCTAAGAAGATCTGATACGAATTTCTGTACAATTATTGAAATATCACGCTAAAAAAAGTTCTAAATGCTAAAACTTATGAAGCACCAAAGCTGCATGCTAAAACTCTGATGAAGTAAATACTCTAAAGATTTAAAGTCTCAACGTTAAGAATCTTATTCTGATCAGCGGTTGAAGAAGCAAGTTCTGATGTGTTACAATTTAATCATTACAAATCAAAAAGTAACGACAGGTACCTGACATGATCTTTATTTTTGGAAAGTACATTAACAACTTTTTATCAACCTTCCAAAATCATCTTCTCATATCTCACATGCTTCACCTATATAAAGGAGTCTTGAAGAAATTATCAAACACACTTGCGCATACAAAGATATACCTTCACTAACTCTATCTTGTCTATTTATTATGCTTTAAATCTTGTGTATAAATTACAATTGTGATATAGTTTTTCTACAAAACACCATTGTACATATTTTTTATTTATATTTTGTAATACCTTGAGAAACCAAGTTGTGGTTTAGTCTCAAGAAGACATTGACGGTAGTCATTTGGATTGCGTAATCAAAGTTTTTGATTAGGGGATAAGGACCTCGTGTGAGAGAGGCGAAATCACCTATGCAGATGGACTGGAGTAGTTTGAGTTCAAATAAAACAAGATAACCAAACTTGTCATACTGTTTTAATTTTTGAAAATCCCAATTCAAACCCTATTTCTTGTGTTTTTCTATCCTTTAATTGGCATCCGAGCGTCTGGTTTTGGGTGCTAACACTTAACCATGTCAGAAAAAGATCCTAGCAAGAAAAACACTATGGTAGGACCAAGTCATATGCACAACAATGATAACTATGATGAGAAAGACATAATCAGCAGCAAATCTCCAATTTTTTATGGTGAGAACTTCGATTATTGGAAAGACATAATCAATTTTTTTCTATCTCATGACGCTGATCTCTGGGATATAGTAACTGATGGCTACATCCATCCAGTTGACGAAAGCGGTCAGAAGATCGACAAAAAGAAAATGATAGATCAACAAAAGAAAGAATTCAGAAATGATCACAAGGCTAGAACAATCCTCTTGAGTGCTATCTCGTACGCCGAGTATGAGAAGATCACGAACAAAGATTCAACTAAGAACATGTTTAACTCTCTAAGAATGACGCATGAAGGCAACACGCAAGTCAAAGAGATGAAATATCTTGCACTCATTCAAAAGTATGAGGCCTTCAAAATGGAAGAAGATGAAACAGTTGAGATGATGTTCTCAAGGTTTCAAATTCTGGTTGTTGGTCTAAAAGTTATGGATAAAGGGTACTCAATAACAAATCATGTAAAGAAAATCATCACAAGCTTACCCAAGAAATGGAGACCCATGGCCACATCCTTAAAACTAGCCAAAGAGCTGAATAAAATATCTCTTGGAGAACTTATCAGCTCTTTCAGAAGTCACGAGATATAATTGGAAGAATATGAGCCCCAAAATAAAGCTAAGTCTTTTGCTTTTAAATCTAATAAAAAGTATGAAACTAAAGCTTTTCAGGCAGAAGAAGAAAACTCTGGTGGATCCTCTTCAAAAGAAGACGAACTATCTCTTCTCTCCAGAAGAGTCCATCAACTATGGAAGCGCAGACAAAAGAAATTCAGAAACCCTAGATGAACAGACAATCCCTTTTAATCATCCTCTAGATACATAAAATCTAGCAACAAAGATGTTATATGATACGAATGCAAAGATTCATGTCACTACAAAAGCGACTGCCTAAATCTTCAGAAAGAAAATCCTAAGAAGTGTTCTCCAAAGAAAAGAAGATAAGTCTTATGGCAACGTGGGATGACTCAAAATCTTCTGAAGCTGAAACAGAATCAGAAGATGAACGAGTCAATATAACTTTAATAGCCAACACATAAAAAGACATAGATACATCAAAATTTGAATCAGATTCAGAAGAGGTATTTTCAAAATTCTCTAGATTTCGATTAGAAGAAAGTCTATCTAAAATTCTTGAAAAATATCAATAACTTCGAGTCAAATAGAAGAACCAGAAACACATTCTTGTATATGAAACTGAAGAAACTAGGAAACAAAAAACAGAAAACTCTGGGCTAAAAGATATTAATTCTAAACATAAAAATGAATTACAAAAAGCTCATAAAAAATCTGTTTCAGAAGTTTCAAGTAGTTCTGATAACATCAGAAAAGCATATGATCACATCTTTCAAAAATTTCTAGCTAGAAACATAGATAGAAGCAAGATGGCTTCAATGATCTATGGAGTTAGAAGAAAAAGGCATAGGATATGTGAAACCAAGAGGATAAGAATCATATCAACCAAAGAAAGTTGATGATATAGTAATAAAACACACACCTTTAAACTCACACTTTACATATGGACACTCACATGATATAAAATATACTAGTGATTCTTACACTACGAAACCAAAATTCAATCAAAATGTTGGAAAATCTAACAAACAATCACCCAAAAAGATATAGGTACCTAAGGATAAAATCATCTATGTCGCTGTTGTACCTGAATTTTTGCCCCTAAGATCCCTCCATCATCTCATATCAACTTAATCACAACAAGATCACATTAGAGTTTGATTTTTCTCCTTATCTTTAGCTTTGCTCATGGGGAATCACCAAGCACATTGACTTCTATATTTTGATAATCTATGTTTTGTAATGATTAACTTTTAACTAATAAATACAATGATTGTTTTCCTTAATTGATGATATTATAGGTGAAAGCACAACACATTCCATCAAGTTGATCTATAGGTTCATGAGTTTATTTCCATGCCTTCTTCAACAAAGCTTCATTGAGGTTCAAGCCTCATCATTTAAGATATTTTGATGTAATATCATGACAAAGTCTATTATGATTCATTATGCCTCAAGTTGTCAAAGATAGTTCAAAGATATAAGGGTTGATTGAAGAAATTTGACCTAATTAGACAAGTTCTTGATTTCTTGGTCACAAGTGCATTTTCCCTCAATTCTTAATATTTAGAAGTGGTTATGGTTGATATAATTTCCCATTATCATACTCAACAACTTCTATTTACATGACAAATGTATTTGTGCAAAAAAATTTGTCAAAATTAAAAAAGGTTTCCAAAGCATTTTGTTGCTCTAGGAGCTAAGATTTTGAACTTATAAGGGCTATATCTTGCTCATC